CCCCTATCAAACCCTGGCTTACCATCACTTTGTCGGAGTCGATGATAGTGTTGAGTCTGTGGGCAATCGTAATGACAGTACAGTATCTAAACCTCTGTCTAATAGTGGTCTGAATGAGAGCATCGGTTCTGTGGTCGACATTAGCGGTCGCCTCGTCTAACACTAGTATCCGATTGTCTCGTAGTATAGCTCTCGCCAGACATACCAATTGGCGCTGACCTACACTCAGATTACTGCCCCCTTCTGTCACCACTGCGTCCAACTGTCCCGGCATTGACTGCACGACATCCCGGAGCTGTACGTCAGACAGAGCTGACCAGAGCTTGTCGTCTGAGTGTTCACCAAAAGGGTCTAAATTCTTGCGCACCGAACCCGTGAAAAGCACCGGATCCTGAGGTATGATTGATATACAACTTCTCAAGTCATGCAAACTAATAGTTTTGATGTCCACCCCGTCTATCAATATCTGTCCTAAAGATTCTGTGAGTCGAAAGAGGGCTGCAATGAGTGACGACTTGCCGGCGCCCGTCCGGCCCACGACTCCCACCTTTTCTCCCCCTTTGAGGCAAACATTGATATCTTTGAGCACTTTATGCGGCGATTCGTTGTATTGAAGACTAATATCTTTGAACACTATTTCTCCCATTTGTGGCCAATTTTTGGGTGGTTTCCGATCGGGAGTGGACTCGAAGTCTGCCTCGGGTTTAATAGCCGTGTATTCGAGCACTCGCTCGACAGAAGTCATATATAACTCGGTATCGGCCGACGATTTAACACAGAATTGAAACACAGAAGTCATTGATAGGGCTTATTGTAAAAAGCAATTGATAAGTAATTTATACATTAATTAATTAAAATGAAATCATATAAATATTTATACCCGACGATAACAAAAGTCCAGCATTTCCTCCGGGAATACCTTTTAAATAATAAACACAATTAAATCAGATGTTTGTAAATAAAGAATTGCAAACATACCGGTACTATTGGTCATAATATATACAATAATGGCGATGACATATAATATGCAAATGGTGTCCATTAAGACTCCGAGTGCTCGTGAAGTGCAGATGAATAGGAAAAAAGTAGAGGTGTTGTCGTTTTGGTGGTCTGTTTGTGTCGGCCCTGTTGTCCATCATTTGTTTCTACATAATGTGT